TGTGTGTGTGTGTGTGTGTGTGTGTGTGTGTGTGTGTGTGTGTGTGTTTACCCAGACTAGTGTACAGGGTCAGAAGGTCAGCTTTGCTCTGTGTAATCCTCTGGCTTCGTATTTACAGAGAGAACATAAGAGGTTCATTTATGAATTTAAATTAGTTTGTCTTTGATAGATTCATCAACAGGAAGGCTTACTTGTGTGTTGTGTTTATTGTTCATTCTACTTTGAGTTAAGTATTTGAGTGGATCCAAGTACCCCTTCATCAGCACCACTCGTCCTGTTGAAATATGTTCATTATAATTTAAACTAGATGTAATTTAACACAATAATGTACACAACTTATTGTAGGTGCAATATTTTTTCGTTGACTTAGTCAACCACTTGGAGTGTAAGAAACTAACACCATTTATTCATTATCTTTAGGATCTATTTTTATAGCTAGTTTTAATCATAATTAATCATATTTGTATGTTTATTTTCCTCCAACACAAATATGTTGATTTTAAAAATATATATATATCAAATTATAAATTTTTTTTTTTAATTAGCTGTGCCACACAACAATCTCCTTGGTCCCTGTGGGATTCATTCAAATATAATATATAACATATTTATCTCTCATCTAAAACAATTAGAATGACTGAACACACATACAAACAACATACTGTAGCTTTGTTCTGCACTGAAGTCAGTTTAGGCTTCATTTTATGAATATTATTACCTCCGCCAAAGAGGTTATGTTTACGGAAAAAGCTACTGGCCTGATTTTTCATGTAACTTGGTGGGGAGGGTGTAGCATGAAATATAATTTTGGAGCAGATTCAGATCACAGGGCAGGTAGAAGACGGGACCTTGGCGAAGGTCCGGGCTCTCTGAGTGCCCTTCTAGCTCGTCCGTGTGCTTTCCCTAAATCTGAGCAGGAGGAGCGATCGGTGTGTTGTGTTGACATGTGCACACCTGATCATTGACAGAACTATTGAATGTAACGGCGTTCTTCACCTGATGTTCAGACTCAACTTCCACCTGTAATTAATGAGCAGAAACCAGTTACCAGACGGCTGTTTCTCCACAGAAAGTGTTTTTAAGAATATTTATTAAATAAGTTAGTGATTTAAAAGGTTTAGGCATAAATAAGCTGCAGAGATTGAGGCTTTGATCAAGCTTGAAGGAATTTGGAGTAAAGTCTGTTTTTTGGGGGGGGTTCACTCACGATGCACACAAACACACATGTATGCAAACTCTCACCCTTTTCCCTTCCATCTCCATGTCCGTCAAGCTCCTCAAAGTCGGCTCCTTTCGTCAAAGAATTTGTCTGCTTTCACGAGAAGTCTTCGCCCTTTCCCTTTGCCCGTGTCGACCTCCTGTGCTTTCCTCTGTTAGCGGAGGAACGTGGACGTGGGCTGCCTCACTCCACATCCTCAATCGGAGAGGTCTGTCCAATTAGGCTGAACTCCTCGACTGTGCCGGGTCACGGGAAGGACTGTCGGTCCATCCGAATCAATTTCATGTCATCTGAGTGTGAAATGGGCAGAGGCTGGGCAGCGTAGGCACGGAGGGCGATTGCGGAGACCTCTCGTGGCATCAGACAGCCGTCTTTTTCCTGTGCGTGTAAAGCTGCAGTCGGTATAATGAGCTGAGGGTTAAGAAATGAAATGACTACCTTTTCATTAAAGCCTTGTTTTTGATGTCTTTGTCTATGAAAGAATCATTTGGGAGTTTTTTCCTCTGCTAG